TTTTTTTTCTTTCATGTAAATTGATGATCTAATTTTTATTTTTTTCCTTTAAACTTTTTTTTAATCATCTTTTTATAGTATCTTTGGACATAACACAAAAAATTTATTTCTAAAAGTAAAATAATTGATCTTTTTTCGAGTAACAGAAAGTCATTAAATTGAGTTTATAATCTAAAAAGCGTGTTGCCAATTTTTGAGAATTTTTCTATGTAGAAAGCTAATAAAACTTTACATGACATGTGTGAGTTTTAAAGTAATAACTTCATAAAACGCTTAAAAAAAAGAGATGGAAATACATAGAAAATTGGAAAAATATCACAGTAATAAAAAAAGTTGAAATATTTATGTGTAAAATTAAGATAAATTTGCGGTTTTTTAGATTATAAACTGAATTAATGACATTTTGTTTATCAAAACATTCAAGTGAGTAAGTAAAATATAACGCTGGGAGTTTTTTAATCATTATATTTATGACAATAGATACAATACAAAATGATAATAAACAGAAGTAAATAAAAACTAAAAATACTTTATACGACTAAATTTCATCGCTATAGACATGCTGGGTAAGTTTTAAATTATTGTGCGGGTGTTGGTTTCGAGTGGTCGTTCATACTTGGCGTTCTGGCCCATATAGTTAATTTAGATTTCCACTTATTTCTCTACCAATATCTATTGGTAAAACATATATTTTCTAACACAAAAATTGGAAATTATTAATCGATTCTTAATAAGTAATATTTAAAAAATATGTTGAGATGAAAATGTTACTAGACCAGATAAGTCAACAAAATTCAATATGGGTTAAATTTATTTTATGTAGAAGCTGCACCAAAGTACTAAAAAATCGTATAAAACATGATTCCTATTTAAACTCGATTAATATTTATTTTTCTAAATACTATTATGTCAATTTAAAGTTAGCAAACATTAATTGGATGTGTATAATTTGTTGAATTATAGCCAACGATCCACCGATAAAACGTTCTACAGGTATAGTATAGATTGTAGAGTTACCTAATGTGCACTTTCTTTATGATATTTTTAAAATAAAATTATTATTTTTGTATACCATTAAGTTAGTTATTTTTCTTATCATTGTAAGAATTCATTTATTGTCTTTTATTGTACTAAAGGTATAGTATAGACAGTAGAGTTAGTAGTTGTTTAATGTTGGATGCAATAATCATCTAGTAAATTAACTAAATAAATAATAAAACAAAGTAAACTCGTGAACCAGGTACTAACGTACGCAGTATTGGTTTAACCTCTGCACAATTGTACTCGGGGGATTTTTTTTAGGTGGTTTGGTGAATTTGGTGATTTCCTTATAAAGTCTTAAAACATAAAATAGCATCGTTTAGCATTCGATATGGTTTACTATATTTTGGTCGTGATTGAAACTCGAAAATGCAGTTTCCGTTTGCACTGTAAAAACGATTGCGTTTCTGAGCAGCTCTTATTTACGTTTCAGTTTAGTTAGTCGAATTTACAAATGTCCCTTTTTCATATTACGAAAATTATTATTTTCTTTCAAGGGAATTACTTGACCGCGTCGTGGAAACGTTACCTCGCTGTCCGCCGTAATAAAACTCGTCCTCTAATATTACCGTTTTAATTATAGTATTATTATTGTCCTTATATATTTAAATATTATATTTTGTTATTACTTTTCATATATAATATTGATTTAATAAAATAGCGTTTTGTATCGTGTTTAGAACCTCTTAAGACGAAAGGTGTAATTAGTGTTAACATCCCTAAAATTGAATTAAGCTAACCTAATTGATAACACATAAGTAAAAATATATATATATATAGTTCTAATATTATAAAATATTATTCCTTAGGTTAATCTGGAAGGCATTCGTATAACGTCGAAGAACACAGGTAACATTAAAAAAGTTAATTCTATTTGAGCTATGAATTAATTTTTTTTGTTTTTTTTGACAGGAAGGTCCTAATGACAACATTCCAAATGACAGTTAAAAACACAGCTTTTAAATAAATATACAAAATTAAATTGTGTAAACTATTAGTAAACCAAACCAAATCTTTCACGAATTCAGAATAAACTTCTACTATCTGGCAATTTTAAAATATCTTGTTTTGCATTAACACATGTTTTCAAACTTGGTTACTATATTTTCACCAGATTTTAATATTGTAGCTTTGTGTACAATGTGTATATGTTTCTTCTATCGTTATAGCCAGTAACAATATTATGCATAATCTCAAAGAGGGTTGTCTAGATAATACGACGGATTAAATTAAAATATAATAACAGTTATTAAGTTATTAACTCCTATTAAGGATACTTAGGAATTAGGACTAATAACCAATGCAGAAACATTAAGAATTAATAGTAATAAAAAACATAAAGTTCATATTTCAGCCGAGTCTTCAACCACGAAAGAACATTTTCATATCTCGTTGAAGAACCGAATAAATTTAGAGTAGTGGTGGAATTATAGATAACGATAAAGTATATTAAGAAGCAGTAAGAAGCTAGTATATTAAAACATCAAGTTTCTGGCTAATATTGTAGTGTTTAATATCTGGCTTATAACAATTCATAGATAATTTGGACCCTTAAACTTTTTTGAATTCATCATTTAGTTTAAGGTGATTAATAAAGTCTCAAAAAAAAACAAAGATCTTTCAACTAAATTTACTTTTGAAAATGGCAATGTTATTTATGAAATAACAGAACGTACATGTTTCTAAAAAAATACATGTGCCGCATGAAATTCAAACACTGTTTCTATATAATTTGAAAATCATTTGTCAAATAATGTATATTATATTCATTTGAATATTTATTTGACATACAAGTTTCCAAATTAAGTAATTGTAAAAGCTTTTAACAAGGAAAACTAAAAATTAGATTGATTCTAAGAAAGAAAAGTTTCTTATCTTAAATGAAATATCTCTATATAACATGAAACATATATTTGATATACTTATACCACCCTCCTATTGAATTTTATACCACCCTCCTACACAGCTAATTGATTCCGGTTCGATGTCGCCAAGAAAGTAATGGAGATCCCGCCTTTTAAAGATTTGGCTCAAAAACAACAAATCAAACATTTGCTAATAAATATAACAATGTGGCATTATCAAATTCATAAATTTGTGTCAAAAATTGTTTAAACTGCAATAAAAAAAATGTGTAATTAAACCATTGCAATTGTTATGTAATAAAAGAGCATAGAGGTCTGGTCAACGGTTTTAAATAATACGGAGATTTTTTGTTTTGTTTTATTATTACATTTTAGTTAAACATATATATTATATTATATAATATACTAGCTGCGTTACCAGACTTTGTTCCGGTAAAAATATAAAATTTTTAATTAACAGTAGAAGTGAGTAGGATTAAAAAAAAAAATTATTTTGTTAATTTTATAACAACAATTTGTTTTTGATCTGAGAACGAATATTATATTTTTAGAATTAAACGACATTGTACATTATACATGTGTGTTAGGCGTTAAAATTTCTTTAAAAAATACTATAACATTCTCGAAGAGTAAGCGTACCTCTATTAAAAAGTAAAGGGTAAAAAATACTCCAAGAACGTTCTAGGATTTTCCGGGACTTTTTCGAAAATTCCTGAACTCTGTATAAATATTCGGTACATTCTCGAAGAGTCATCTCACTGGCCAAGAGGCCATAGAGGGACAACGTTCTGACTGACGACTGGATATGACAAAGTAAGTGAGAAGTGTAAAGAGAGTCTGTTAGTGGCTATTGCGACCGGATGACCGTCTTATTTTATGCGTCCCCTAGCAATATTTCTGTTCACTGGTTGTTGTAGAAAAGGGCAGGGTATGAGACATAAGTCATAGGAATAGAACTTGTAGCTTACTCAGTAAATATGCCTTTAGTTTTATTTAATAAAAATGTGATGTTACAATGGTATAAATCATTAAAATATATTATTCTATGCATGCAGTTTTATATAGTAATTATGATAAATACATCCGGTATTTATATAATACAAATTGCAAGCCAAATTTTTAGGCCGCGTTCTCGTGGCTCGATATAAAATAGTTATAGTTTAAAATAATAATACAAAGGAATATTTATAAATATGGTTTTGGCTGTAATGTATATTATATAAACGTGTCTGATATTTATCATATCTCATATGAAATGAAAAATTTTGATAAATATGAACTTTAACAACAAAAATGTTTCTCTTTTGAAAAATATAAGTAAAAAATAATTGTTAAATTGTTTTATTGCATTATATTAATAAGGAAATGTAGATAAGCATATTAACATATATTCTATATTAAGTATTGAACAAAGCGTACATTGCTTTGTTTTTGTATATTCGCCTTAAATATATTAAAATTTAAAAAGGGGATTCATTGTAGGTAATTTTATGGGTCTTATTGATAATACTTTTAGCTGAATGTGATTCAAATTTATAATTTGTAAAGTTGTATAAAACAATAATTACTTATATTATACCTAAATATGGCGATTGGGATATTTTAAATAGAATTACTATTTTGTTTATATAAGATTGGGTAAATGTAAGGTTAATTTTTATTTTGCCTGGTTTTGTCGAGATTAAAGTGAATGATTGCAGTATACTTGTTTCACGATTTTTTCTCATTATTATTCTACCTACAATTGTGAGTTAGTCTTAAATGACAGGCTGGCATTACATTCATGCAGTGTTATAAAATAATTATTATAAGTACATCCGATATTTATATATTATATCATTGGAATATTTCGAATATTGGGCAATTTTTTTTTTTTAATGTTAGCCGAAATTGTTTTTTACTATTATAATGTTTGCTCCATCTCACAGGTTTTTTAGAAACATATTGTATCGTTTAGTTGTTTTGCAAATAACACAGCTTTTTGCGTCACACTTTAATACAACTGTTACTATATAGTCTGAATAAATTTGCTAAATAATGTATATTATGTTTATTTAAATTGTTCACTGTACATTTTAAGATTGTGTATCGTAGTTTTCATTGTCTATCTTAGAAGTGTTTTACAGTATAACAAGTTCCTTAGTAAACTATGCAGAAATCAACTATTTGTATTATAGTTTTTATTATTATGAAACTATCATTGGGTATGTCTTATTTGTATTTTTTTTTTACAATACATTCTCAGGTTCAACACTATAATCATCATAATTTTATGGATTCTAATTAAATGACAAATAACGTATTTTAAGTTAATTGCACGGAGAAATTTTTTTCATTTAAAAGTTATGTAAGCGAGTATGAAATTATATTGAAACCTAATTTTGTTTTTTACATTTAGTCACACAGGGTGGACCATTTCCAGGTATGTTTATAAGCTATGTACAGCTATACATTTTACATACAATTTTATACACGTATTCTATTTATCTTGTATATTTTTAGTGATTTATTATATAATATGACCATGTAGTAATATACACCTATAAGTAGATAACAGTACTATTACAGATTACATTACATATAAGTTTGTTTTTGGAGTATTTAAACCCACCCTCCCAATTGAGTTTTTTTGATAGCAACTTTTGATACTGACATAGGCCCTAAACTTAAAACCTAAATTTTTTTTAGGTTTAAAAAAATAGTTATCTGAAACTGGTTATCGACCAGTCAAAATTGTAGTATATTTTTCTCAATTTAAGTTGATAATGAAATGTACGTGTTACCATTTAGAATTCGAAAATTTCTATTGAAAAAAACTTGTTGAGGGGGGGTAAAATCAATTGTGAAAAGTTTTTTAGCCGAGTTTGCCACCACGAAAGAGCATTTACATGTCTCATTGAAGTACCGAGATAAATTTAGAGTAGTGGTGGAATTGTAAATAATCATATAGTATATTAAGAAGCAGTAACAAGCTGGTATCTAAGGTGGCTAGTATATTAAAACATCAAGTTTCTGGCTAATATTGTGATTTTTAATAACTGGCTTAAAACAATTCATAGCGAATTTGAGCCTTTAAACTATTTTGAATTTATCATTTAGTTCTAATTTGAACGTTGAACGTACAACATATCTCTTATCAGATAACAGCGTAACGCTTTTTAGGTAACACTTTTTTCGGTTATGTGCCAGAGCTATTTCCCACCCCAACCCCCTATCTCCCTATCTCCTACTCCCTATCACTCACCTCCTATCTCCCATCCCCTATCTCCTACCCCTAACTCTCACCCCCTATCACTGAACTCCTATCTTCTATAAAAAAAAAAATCTTTCTCCGAGAGAGTCGAACGAAAAATGTTTTTGTCATATATATGTTATAAGCTATTGCATAATAAATTTAATTAATTGGAATTCCACATATTTCACTATATCTTTTGGAAAAAAAATATTTTTTAAAATTAATTTTTGAATATAGAAATTTTAATAGATATTTAAAAAGTAATATTTAAAGTTTTTTTTTTTACATTTTAGGGATAAAAATTATACTAGACCACATAAGTCTACAAAATTTAATAGGGGTTTAATTTTTTTTGTAAAAGCTGCTCTTAAGTACTAAAAAATCGTATAAAACATTATTCATAATTAAAAAACAAAAATAAAAGAAACATATTTAAAGCTATTATTTTCTTACATATTCATTTTTAAAAATGTTTTACAGTTAAAAGTTCTCAAATATATAAAAAATATTTTTTGTTGTTAGATGTTGTTTAGGACTTTTTCTCTTTTACTTTGTTTCATTTAATTTTGTTTGAACAATGGTAATATTGTCAATATTACAACATTTTTTCTTACATTGATTACGCGAATTTACTTGAATACATTTTGGCAACTGTTAAGGTAAAATAAGCTGCATTTCAATCTAAAATATGTACTACAAAAGTGTGTTTTTATTTTCCTACCTATGACACATCTAATTTATTAAACATGTGCATATACATGTTTAGATAATGCTCGCATATAAATAATGTTATCGTTATCTTGGCATTAATAAGATTTGTGTACTTTAAGAGAATTAAAATCGTTGTTAAATCAGGTCGATTATTGTAAACGAGTAGTTTGTCCACACTAAATTGATTTTGAAATACCTTAAGTATATTTTTGTTTAACTTTTCAGAAATGACGAAACGGAGAACTGTAGTTATGGTAAGACATGGGATGAGCCAGTGGTCTGAAAAAAACGTCTTCTGTGGATGGTACGATTCGGAGTTGTCCGAACGAGGTAATAAAACACAAACATTTAAATTAACGATAATAAAAAGTTTTTGCATATATTTTTTTAGCATTTGCCGAAAAAAAAACATTATAGGAAACTGCTAATATTTTTGTAGAAGATTACAAATCTTATTAACGGGTGTCAATCTTTTTATAGAGATTTACATGTCTGATATTTTGGGAAGGTTATTTTTTTGTCAGAGTTTACCGTCCCTCAAAAATTTTACTCATAGCCCTTGCGGCTTCTAAGGTTGGGGATAATTATCATATGAAAAACGACTTTTTTACGAAATTAGTTTGATGTATAATTTTAAGGATTAACAATTTAGGTATTAATTAATGAGACCGGTTGAGAGAATGTCAGATGAACTGTTTGATTATAAGATGAAATATGGGAGCTACGCCAATAGCTGGAAAGTCAAGAGAACATAAATTGAGATAGTTTGAGTGTTGGGTGATTCGACGAGGCAAGTCAACTAAGATGATATAAATGAGCTGTGAATTTCCATTTTCTAGGATTGGACGAAGCTCACGAATGCGGTCGTTTGATGAAATCCGCAGGCTATTATTTCGACATTGTGTTCACATCTCTGTTAACTAGAGCTCACCAAACATTAGACGTGGTCGCCAAATACTTAGGACAGCCCGATGTGCAAGTAATAGAAACATGGAGACTGAACGAACGGCACTATGGCGCTTTGACCGGATACGTCAAAGGTTATCTGGTCGACATATACGGGGAAAAACAGGTAAAACTATCCGTTGAGTTTATGTTTTTTACACGTATTCCTTTTGTAAGCCGCCTTTTCCGTAGAAGGGCGCAGTTGTTTTTGAACCGTCTGAGAACCGAAGATGCAGTTCTTGGAAACCAGCAGGTTTATATGGACTTTTCCATTTTGATTTCCTGTTGCAAACGACTCGTCTTCCAACAAGCTTATTTTTTAATTAAAACAGCTAGGTGACAATATCCTATTATGCATTTAAGTCAACATATTTGCTCATATTTGCAATGAACAAATTCGGTCTAGATGTAAAAAAACTAATCAACCATACACCAGGGACCTCCTAGTTAGTTATTTGTGTGTACTGTTGAACACATTGTTTGATTGCAGGTGCAAATATGGAGACGGAGTTTCGATGTGAAGCCACCAGCGATGGGTTCTGACCACAAGTATTACGATGCGGCCATGAACAACCCGAAACTCAAGAAGTACGCCAACGAGCATAACGTTAAGTTCCCTGTGACTGAATCGCTCAAAGAGACCATGAAGAGAGTGATACCGTTTTGGGAGCAGATGATTGCGCCTGCAGTGCGACAGGGACAACGGGTATTGATCGTTGCTCACGGTACGGTGTTGCGAAGCCTCGTCAAGTATTTAGAAGGTACCGAGTTTGTTAAACGACTAAATATTCTCATATAATAAATGTCATAGATAACACGCCGAGTTCAATGGGTTCGTCTTTCGGTATGTTTTATTATAATGCAATTTAAAACAAACATAGTCGGGTCGGGGAGCTAACATCGGTCTGCAGGAGTTGTTAATAACAATTAATGTTATAAGTGATAACAATCAAAGTGAAAATATATTTAAAAAAAAAAATACTTCGAAGCAAAACCGTGTAAATAGTAAAAATTAGATATTCAATGCAAATGTAAATAATTTTGATAGACTGTAAAATAATATGTATTTACAATATGGTGCGCGAGATAATGGGAGCAAGTCAATTTAAAACAAAAATGAGTTTGACACTGAACATATAAACTAAAATTGTGTATATTGTGTGAAAAAATAATACTTCCGCATCAAAAAATTCGATACTCAATAGTCTTGAGGCGCATTGTATTGGCAATTTTTGACTAAAACTTAACAGTATGCCACATTTTTTAACATATGTATTACCATAGAAAATATGGAACTATTTTAGTACTTAGTTTTTTTCAATTTTTATAATGCATATAGTAATCTATGTTTGTACAAAAACATATATTTCTACTTCAAACGCAGAGCGTTTCCTAAGAATACTTTTATTTAAGTTTTGATTAATTCTTCATAACATTTTCAATGCATCGATTGTGGCATAATTTAAAAATTATTTTTTGTTAGTTTATTATTTCAGTTTTGCATCGTAGCTTAAAGAAATGAAAATATTAAAATTTTTAACAAAATATTAAACGCAGTAAAAAAATCATTTATTTTATAGAGACACTGAATTTACATTCAGTCTTATTTTCAGACTTCCATTTTTTGTCAATTAATTATTTAAGTTTAAAAAAATTGAAAATTTGCAGTTTCTTACATTAAAATAATTATTGAACTAAAAACAATTTTCAAATTGTGCCACGATCGATGCTTTGAAAATATTATAAAGAATTTAAATGTTTTTTCAAAATATAATTTAAAGTATTCTTTGGAACAGTACGTTTGAAGTAGAAACATATGTTATTGTTTAAAAAATAGTTCCTAGATGCGTTATAGAAATTAAATACCAAAATAGATCCTTCTTTACTATGGTAGTATAAATGTTTAAAAGATAGCCTAATGGTAAGTTTCAGTCCAAAATTGCCTATACATTGCTTCTTAAAAAATGCAAGTGTTCCTTTAATATAATTTACAGATTTTATTTTTTTACCGCTAATAGCAATGATAACGTGTTTTATTATTGTTTGTACAGGCATATCAAACGACGACATTTGCTCAATAAACATTCCATCAGGTATTCCATTCTTCTACAAGTTTGACGAGTACATGCAGGTGGTGTCGACCAAGGAATTTCTGGGAGATCCAAAGCGAGTACAAGAAGGTATTGCCAGAGCCGCATCAAGCGGTACCATAATACAACATTGAAAAACTGTCATTTTTTATGTACTCTTAATGTTCGGACTGTATTCGGATGTACTAAGCGTTTAAAATAAATGACTATTTTGTGTGTTATTTTGTGTCTTGGCTCTTCCTATTTGTCCCACCTCTTTCTTAACCCCCTCCCCTCATTATTTCTCCAACACTCGTCGTAAATTGTGTTTTATTTATTTCGTATAAGTAAATTTTTTTGATATTTATAGATGTATATAAAATAGATATAATGATATACATTATATATTTAATATTTATATAATATATATATTAATTATTAAATATGTATATAATGATTAATAAATAATGAACTATATTTTTTATTTTTTTTTATTGAAAAACATATTATATTAGACTTATAACATATTACACTTATTAATTTTATAATTTTCGTTATACTTTGAAATACCTAAAACTTTATTTGCTTAAAAGCTTGTTTATATGCCGGAAACATGGCGTGTGCAGCTTTACCTCGCTGTCCGCGGTCTGCCGTAATGAAACTTGTCCTTACTGTCTCAATTATATAATAATTATTATTATTGTCATTATATATAAAAATATTCTATTTTGTTTTTAATTTTCATAAAGAATATTAATTTAATATAATAACGTTTTGTATTGTGTTAAGCACTTAATAATGAGAGTGGCGAAATACGAATAGAAAGACTCCATTAGAGAGTGGCAAAAAATATCGTCATTGTCATTGTGCTCCTAATCTTCATTAATCATAAGGTAAACTAACCTAGTTGTTATATATTTATATATATATAGTTCTTATATTCTAAAATATAATTCCTTAGAGATCATATGAAAATACATAACATAATTCATTTACATTGTTTTTTTGTAACATAGGTGACATTATACAAATTAATTATATTAAGCTATGAATAAATAAGGTTTTTTTTTTGACAAAAAGGGTTCAATGACAACAATCCAAATTGCAAAAATAGACAGTTAAAAATACTGCTTTTAAATAAATATACAAAATTAAATTGTGTAAACTATTACTAAACCAAACCATATCTTTCACGAATTCATAATAAACTTCTACTATCTGGCAAATTAAAAATATATTGATTTGCATTAATACATGCTTTCAAACTTGGTTACTATATATTATACAACTGTATAATATATTATATGTACTTATATTTAGCAACAACTTTTACAATAGTTAAAAGATTTGGCACAATAACAACAAATAAAACATTTACTAATGAAAATAACAATGTAGCATTATCAAAATCATAATTTTGTGTCAAAATTGAATTAAACCGCAATAAAAATAACTGTATAACTTAATCCCTTATAATTCGTATGTATTGAAAAAGAGCAGTAGATTTCTGGTCAACGGTTTTAAATAATGCGGTGATGTTTTTCTGTTTTGTTTTATTATTACATTTTAGTTAAACAAATATACATATACTAGCTACGTTACCAGGCGTTGCTCTGGTAAAAATATATAATTATTAATTAATAGTAAATGAAGTGAGTAGGATTTTTAAATAAATTGTTTTTTATATTTTGTTAATAATATTACAACAATTTGTTTGTGATCTGAGATCGAATATTATATTTCTAGAATTACACGAATACTGGTACATTCCCAACATGTGTTAGGCGTAAAAACTATTTTAGAAACGTTCTATAACTTTCTGGATTTTTCTTGAAAACTCTGTAGAAAAAACCTGTATCATTAGGCGAGTAAGCGTAGCTCTATTAAAGAGTAATGGGTAAAAGTTACTCCAAGAACGTTCTAGGACGTTCCCGAACTTTTTCGAAAATTTCTGAACTCTTATATTTGTAAATATGATTTTAGCTGTAATGTATATTATATAAATGTGTATGGTATTTATTATGTCCAATATGAGTTGAAAAGTTTTGATAAATATGAAGTTTTACAATAAAAATGTATCTCTCTTGTTGTATCAAATACAATATTATAAAAATAAAAATATGAGAGAAAATTAATTGTTAAATTGTTTTATTGCATAATATTAATGTAAAGAAATGTATATAAGTATGTTAAAATACAATTTGTATTAAATATTGTATAAAGCGTACATTGTTTTGTTTTTGTATATTAAAAATTTAAAAAGTGACTCATAGTTGTATGGGTCTTATTGATAATACTGTATTTTAGCTGAATATGATTAAAATTGGTAAAGTTGTATAAAATAATTACTTATATTATACAAAATATGGGGATAAGGGTGATTTAAATAGAATTACTCGTTTGTTTATGTAATATAAAATTGGGTAAATGTTAGGTTAATATTTTTTTTTGCTGGTTTTGTCGAGACTAATGTGAATGATTCTAGTATTATTGTTTCACGATTTCTTCTCATTTTTATTCTACCTACAATTCTTAGTTACCCCTAAATGACAGGCTGACACATTAGGTGCATGCAGTTTTATAAAATAATTATGATAAATACACCGATATATTTATATATATTTCATTGAAATTTTTTAAATATTGTGCAATTTTTTTTTTTAATGTTAACCGATATTGTTTATTACCAACGTAATATTTGCTCCTTCTCATAGGTTTTTTGGAAACATGTATCGTTTTGTTTTTTTACAAATAACACTGCCTTATGCATCATACTTGAATAAAACTGTTCCTATAAGACTGAATAAACTTGCTAAATAATGTATATTATGTTCATTTATATTTTTCTCTGAACATTTTAAGATTGTGTATCGCAGATTTCATCGTCTATCGTAGAATTGTTTTTTAGAATAACAGAAGTTCATTAGTATATTATGCAAAAGTCTACGATTTGTTTTATTGTTTTCATTATAATGAAAATATCATTGGGTAAATTTTATTTTTATTTTTTTTACCATTAACTCTCAGGTACAACACTATAATTATCACATTTTGTGGCTTCTAATTAAATAACGAATTGAATTAAAAGAAGTTAAATCCATGGAGAAATTATTTTATTACCTACACAAGTATCAATTTATTTTGAAACCTAATTTTGTTGTTTATATTTAGTTACAGAAGGTCGACCAATTGATACCGATTATAGTATGTTTATAAATTATATACAGCTATACATTTTATATACAATTTTATACACGATTTCTATTTACATTATATATTTTTACTGGTTCATTGTATAATATGACCGTGTAGTAATATACACCTAAAAGTAAATAACAGTACCATTACAGATTACATTCCTTATACGTTTTTTTTGGAGTATTTAAGAATTTTTTTTTGGAAAATTAAAAAAATATTTGATAAAACTAATGATTTTATTTATTTTATAATAAAAAGTTAAAGCCCGGAAATAACAATACAAGAAGAGTCTCAGAGAGCCTGGGTAATTTCACATTATTTTTATTAGTACAAGCGCCCAAACGCCAAATACGAACAAACATTTGGAGCATTCTCGAGCAACTTTTGAAACTCAATCAGCTAGTCTGTTCCAACGAAAATAATGTTTTTTCGTCAGTAAATCATTTTTTTTTTTCATTTATTTTGGTCCTGTCATGTAAATTGATTATCATATTTTAAATTTTTCCTTTCTCTTCTTTTAGTCGTTTTTTGAATAGTATCTGATTTCCCACCCCCTGCCAATCAAGTTTTTTTTTTATAGCAACTTTTGATACTGACATAGGCCCAAAATTAAACCTCAAAAAAAAAAAAACCTAAAAAATAATTATTCGAAACAGGTTTTTAGTATTCAAAACTACTACAATTTGTGACTGGTCAATATTGTAGTATATTTTTCTCAATTTAAGTTGATATTGAAACGTACGTGTTTTTTAATTTAGCATTAGTGTTACCATTTAGAACTCGAAAATTTCTATCCAAAAAAAAACTTGTTGGAAGGGTGTAAAATCAATTGTGAAAAATTGAGATCAAATTGTATAAAAGCATTATGAAAAAAAAAATTAATTTCTTATTAAACACTATGATATATTGTGGCCATGATAAAGGAATCATCGTTTAAAGTGCTTAAGGATAGTACTATAATTTGTAATTACAAAAGCAATTAAAAAAAAAAAAAATCATTCTCCGAGACAGTCAAACGAAAAATGTTTTTGTCATATATATTTTATAAGCTATTTCATAATAAATTTAATTTATTAGAATTCCACATATTTCTCTATATCTTTTGGTAAAAAAAAATATTTTCTAAAAAAAATTTTTGAATATGGAAATTTTAATAGATATTTAAAAAGTAATACTGAAAGTTTTTTTTAAACATTTTTGAGATAAAAATTATAGTAGACCAGATGAGTCTAAAAAATTCAATAGGGGTTTAATTTTTTTATGTAAGAGCTGCACTAAAGTACTAAAAAATCGTATAAAACATGATCCCTATTTAAACTCGTTTAATTTTTATTCTTATTAATACCATTATGTCAATTTAAAGTTAGCAAACATTATTTTGATATTTATAATTTGTTGAATATTATAGTTGGCGATAAAATACATTCAAGTATAGTATAGACAGTAGAGTTAGTAGTTGCCTAATGTGCACTTTCTTTATTACATTTTTAATATTTATTTATTATTTTTATAAACCATTAAGTTAGTTCTTTTTCTTAGCACTGTCCTTCTTTTTTCCCGTGATTTTCGTCGAACCCTTTCTCTAACACTATAAGTTCAAACCATTAGCAATACATGAGATGTTTTATAATCATTTACTGAAATTAGTATAGTATCCCTCTTAAAAGTTTTAAAATCGTGTAAAAAATATTATATTTAAAACTATTATTTTCTTACATGTTCACTATTAAAAAATATTTTTTATAAATAAAACCAAAAAATACTATGCCTAGCTAACAATTTAGGTAATTTAAATAATTTTATTCCAAAACGAAAACGTATAATTTATAAATTTTGTTTACTTCAATATTTTTTGTGAACACAGCAATAGCTTAAAAAAACAACGGCGAGTTCTATATTGATTTCATTTTACAGTATTTTTTTCAACGAAACAACTATGCTAGACCAGTTTTTAATCAAATCTTTAAAGTAAAAAATGGTAAATTAGTTGACATAGTCAAAAATTAAGAAAAATATCTTTTTTTCTTAAATATTGCCTACACAAGGAAGAAGACGAGGCGTTTTTGTTCGACGTGCCCGAGTTGGTGGGAGACCTTGAAGCCATCATCTTATTGCTCATTTGTTTGCTGGATATTGACACCGTGTGACAGAGAGTGGTATTGGAAAAATATATAATAAAAGTCATCATTTTGTACACATTTATTATTAAGACGAAACGTATTGTGAACTTTTTCTGTTGTACAAAACTAAAAGGAGTGCTTCCGTTTATTACTGTACTCGGATGGATACGTTTCACATTGAGTGTATTTAATTTATTACAAAAAGTTTAGAAATAATTAGTAAATTTCATAATTTTATATATTTTATTCTCCAAAAAACGAAGCTAAATAAGTACTATTGATATCAACATTATATTTAACGTTTTTATAGTAGACTAATACCACAATTTAATGAATAATAGTAACATAGCACGTAAACATTATTTTCCATGTGTAAACAACGCAACACAAAACTACATACAATATATAAGTAGTACAAAGAATAAGATAAACAGTCATACAAATGATAAAACCAAAATTTAAAATAATTAAAAGATAAAAAAATATTTTCATAAACAAGATAAGTAGGATAAAAATATATAAATATATTTAATTAATAGTCAATTTTCAAATATAAACTTACATATTTTATTTTAAATTATCTTCAAAGACAATAGTGTAATTATAAAAGACTACTAACATTTTATAATAAAATAAGAATAGTAACAATATTTTTTACTAAATTGCGTGTGTAAAATATGCAATTTAAAAATTACATTATAAAAATATAGAAACTAAACAATTCATGTGATCCATTAAAAAATTAAATCGAAAACGACTTAGCTATGTTAATGATCGGTTAAACAATAGTCATAATAAACCAATTAAAAGAAAACTAATAAAAAAAATTAAACCGTAAGTAAAATAATAACAAATAGATACTGGAAAACTATTTTAAAAAAATGCCAAATAGCCACGTGAAGTTATTGAGGCTATGAGTCGTGTACTTTTGCTTGATGCCTTTTGAGTGAATCTTGGTGACCATACGATTTTTCACAGGCGGAGCATTTATATCGTACCCCACCAATATGTATCCTTTATGATTGTTGAGGTGAGATTGTTGTCTGAATGTTTTTGCACACACATTGCATTTAAAACGTTTCTCTTCGGTATGTATCCTTTCATGAGTTTTGAGTGAAGACTGAACACCAAATGTTTTTCCACAGACATCGCATTTGAAGGGTTTCTCTCCGGTATGTATCCTTTTATGATTGTTGAGGTGAGGTTGTTGTCTGAATGTTTTTGCACACACATTGCATTTAAAAGGTTTCTCTTCGGTATGTATCCTTTCGTGAGTTTTGAGTAAAGACTGAACACCGAATGTTTTTCCACAGACATCGCATTTGAAGGGCTTTTCACCGGTATGTATCCTTTGTGTTTTGAGGGAAGACTGGTGACCAAATGTCTTTTCACAGGTATTGCATTTGAAGGGTTTCTCGCCGGTATGTATACTTTTATGATTGTAGAGGGAAGACTGGTGACCGAATGTTTTTTCACAGATATTGCATTTGAAGGGTTTTTCGCCGGTATGTATACTTTTATGACTTTTGAGGGAGTCTGTTGACAAAATGTTTTTTCACAAACATTGCATTTAAATGGCTTTTCGTCCGTATGAATGCGCCAATGTCTTCTCAGACTTGATATTGACGAAAAACTTTTTAAACAAATGCCACAATTATAGAGGCCATTTTTGTTTCGATGATTGACATTATTTTTTTGAGGCGCTTTCTTTCCAATGGAAGTACTGGAATGTGATTGCGCAATATGCCGGATTATATTACTTTTGGTTGTAAACCTCTTTTGACACATGTTGCAGTCGAACCGACGTATTTTGTATATATTTTGCTCAGAATTGTTTTTTATAGTTTCAATAAAATTGCAATCCATGGTTTTTGTATATTTTTGAGGTATCCGTCGCATTACACGGAAAATTAATACTGCCAAACGTATGAAACAAAGCAGAATAATTTAAGATCAATATATTTAGATGTTATACAACAAATATGTTAGTAATGTTAAATGTCCAACGCATCATTTGGAAGAAATAATTTATTAATGTATTAATATTAATTAAGACCTGTAAAGTTAATTTTTGACATTTTTGTTTTAATGAAACGCTTTTCATAATAGTGGGTATCTTTAAAGATACACTACTTCATCTATCTATTAAGATAAAAAAAAACAATAAAGCATATCTTAATTAATATTTTATTATTTACGTAGAGTAGGTTTTAGTCTTTGAACTATGTATGTAAGTATGTTTATTTGTATTAATTAAGATATATTGTTAAAAAAGAAAATAAGTTAAATGTATCCAATTTTAAATTATGTTTATAAAGTTTTAAGTATTTTACTATTAGGATATTGTAGGTATCATTTTGGATACAACCAATAATTCCGTTTAGGAGAAGTGCAACTGAGGTAAAAGTGTTTATCTAGTTATATCCAATAAAAGTTAGTTTATGGTTTAGTTGTAAGTTAGATTACTTATATTTCATAAAAAATTTTCATTTAACTTTATACATTTTTTATTGTAAAAAAAATTTAATTTTATAGAAATTAAACAAACCCTAGTACTTATTAAATTATTTTTCTTTATAACTATTAAAATAAAGTTTTTACAATAAAAAATTACACTTATACTAATTTTTTGTCCGTTATATAAAAGAATGAAAAAAATGTATGAATAAATTTCTTTACATTTATATTTATATAACACCAGTATGTCTTGTGCAAACATACGCTAACAAAATGCGGTACTGCAAACTTTGACAGGTCATCATACCCACAAATAGATGTTAAGAATTTTATTTTTTTTTTGGTATTTTGATTTAACATTATATTGATAAGAGGTAGATGAAGTTTTGAAACAATCTATTATTATATGAAGAAGTGGTTCCTATTATAAGTTAAATGTCAGAGAAACACTAACATCGATACCAATGACAGGTTCATAGAGGAGGACGGAGTAATAACAAAAGTTTAATAGTTATATTTAGGATAAAAAAAATATTAATAAAAATTGCCTTACCCATAAGTATTGTCACCTTCATTCTTTACTAAATTCTCCTCTGTTGTTGAAATTTCATGGTTTTTGAACTGCACATCTAACGGTTTAGGTTCAATGACTTCAAACGATTTTTCAAAGGAATGCTCTTCTGTTTCATAATTTTCTTGTTTGATTTGCAACATATTATACTGCTTCAAAACTCTGTAATTAACATTTAACTAAGTTGTATTTCTGTGCTATATATGCATAGAGGTTAATTAGGACGATTAACTACATAATTCCAACTATTTTATTTAGTAACAAATATTTGTAATAATAATGATATACTAAAGAAGACAGCTAATGGCCTAAGTTAACGAGGCTTAAATATATTTAAAAAAATAAAGAACAATTTAGTTTACATTATTTTAAAAATAAATGTATCTAATTTTTAATTATTTTTATAAGGTTTTAAGTATTTAACTATTTATGTACTACATTAACTATTAGGACATTGTATCTTTTTGGATACAACCAATAATTCCGGTTAGGAGATAGTACAACTGAGGTAAAAGTGTTTACCTAGTTATATCCAATAAAAGTTAGTTTATGGTTTAGTTGTAAGTTAGATTACTTAAAGTTTATTTCATAAAAATTGTCCATTTAACTTATAATACATTTTTGATTGTGTAAAAAAACTAATTTTACAGAAATTAAACAAACTCCAGTACTTATTAAATTATTTTTTTTTATAACTATTAAAATACAATTTTTATAATAAAAAATGACACTTGTTCTACACTTTTTGTCCATTATATAAAATAATGAAAAAAAAATGTATAAATGTTTTATATATATTATTTATATATATATATATATATATAACACAGTAAGTCTCGTGAGGCATGAACGCTAACATAAAGCGGTACTGCAGACTTTGACCGGTTATCATACCCACAAATAGATGTTTACAAGTTTATTTTTTTTGGTATTTTGATTTAACATTATATTGGTAAGAGGTAGATGTAGTTTTAAAACAATCTTTTATTATATAAAGAATTGGTTTCTAATTTAAGTTAAATGTCTGCGAAACAATAATATCGATACCAACGACGGGTTTATAGAGGAGGACGACATCATTACAAAAACTGAATTGTTTTATTTAATAAAAAAAAAATGGTAATAAAAATCGCCTTACTCATGAGTATTGTCACCTTCATTCTTTACTAAATTCTCCTCTGTTGTTGAAATTTCATTTTTTTTTAACTGCACATTTAACGGTTTAGGTTCAATGACTTCAAACGAGTTTTCAAAGGAGTGTTCTTCTGTTTCATCAGTTTCTTGTTTAATTTTCAACACATTATGTCGCTTCAAAACTCTATAATTAATATTAAACTTAGTTTTATTTCTATGCCATATATGCATAGAGGATTAATAGGACGACATGACTACCTAATTTTAACTATTTTATTTAGTAACAATTATTTGTAATAATAATGATATACTAAAGAAGACAGCTAATAGTCTAAGTTAACGAGGCTTAAATATATTTAAAAAAATAAAGAACAATTTAGTTTACATTGTTAAAAAATAAAAACCAACCAAGTTTTCAGTGGTGTATTTTGTACTTTTTAATCATTTAAAACGAAATATTAATTTACTTAAATTAGATGAATAACACAGCTGAATTAAATATATTTTGATTTTAAACTGTGTTTCATTCACCATTTCTCTTTACTTCTTATAACGTCGAGAATAATTGTTAAAACAATATCATTAATACTATTTTGAAAATGAATTAGGACATCAACAATTATATATATTTTTTTTAATTACGGAGGACGACATAGTAACAAAAGCCTAATTGTTTTATCTAGTAAAAAAAAATGGTAATAAAAATCGCCTTACTCATAAGTATTGTCCACTTCATTCTTTACCAAATACTCCTCTATTGTAGAAATTTCATTGTTTTTGAACTGCACATCTAAGGGTCTGGGTGCAATGACTTGAAAGGAGTGTTGTTCTGTTTCATCATTTTCATGTTTAATTTTCAACATATTAAATAGCTTCCAAACTCTATAATTGACATTTAACATTAGTTGTGTTTCTATGTCATATTTGCATAGAGGTTGAATAGAACGACTTAATTACACAATTTTACTATAAGAATAATTTAGTTATCACTATTTGAAAAATAAAAACCCAATCGAGTTTGCAATGGTATATTTTGTTTTTTTACACATTTAAAACTAAATTTTAGTTTACTTAAATTAGATGAATAACACAAAACTACAAATATGACTTGTAGGTAAGAAGCTAACACGATAAAAATTAAAGATAGACGATAGATCATTTTGCCAACAAGATTAATTTAAAGTGGCGTTGATCCTGAGTCACTCAACTCAACTCTGAGTGAATAATAAGTAATAAAAAAAAACACAAATATATTAAGATTCTATTTACTCACAAGCAACAATATTCTGAGTGAATGGAAAACAGAAAACACGGCAATAATGTAAATAAATTAGAAATACAACGGTAGGTACTCACACAACGTAGAAACGTAAACCGCCGTCCAGGGCTGCTACTAAAAACTTATAATAAATGAATTACAGGCAAGACAAAACTCAATTGTAACGCAAATTAAAACGAAATAACGAAACACGGCGCAATACGTTAGGTATTTATCATGAAATTTAACAATATTAAAATTAAAAACTAGAGATTCTCACGAATCGGACCCGTAGCAACAATAATGAAAACAAGTTGTTTCTATGGCGCTAAATCAAATGTAACTAGTTATAATTCAAAGAAAGTCCGAGTGCATATAAAAAGTAATCTCAATTATTAACAACAACAAAATTTGTATTTAATGTAGGTTTTATAACGCGAACTGCAGGACAACGCCGAAAATTTTCTAGACAGATTTGTGATAATGTGTGTTTGTATGATAACGAGTGTGATAACGACTCGGGTGGAGGTAATCTTTCGCGCGTTTTCTGTGGCAAACAGATCAAATTCCCAGCTTCGGTTTCGAATCTTATTGTAAATTTACCTTCATCGTCATTCTATAACATGTATTAATGCGTTTACCTAAGTCTATATTCGTTGTGGAAACAGCTTTCGCCGACTTGTAAAATTACTATTTAACATTATAATTATTACAAAAAAAAAAAATTATTTCTGTATTATCTTTTTCTGTACATTTTTTTATATAATGCAATTAGGTACCACGATACGGTATTATTATTCGGGAAGACAGAGAGAGACGCTTAATAACTACTTAACAATTTTACGTTTTGGTAATTTGAGTTTGTTTTTTTATTTCTGTAGGCTGACGGTTTGGACATTCATCAACTTGATTACAGTTTGCTTATTATGTTATTTTTTTTTAGTGTTCCCATTTGATTGACACGTTTGTATTGAAAATACAAGTAACGCCGTCTTGGTGGTAGATGATGTTGTGAGTCTACGGACAATTTCTTTGCCGACGGTGACGTAGTCGGTGGTCCTACGTATCGTTTGAAGTTATTTTGACGGTATATCTGATTAATCGGTTTTAATCAGGGGTTTTTATGTAAGATATTACTATGTAATTTTGTATAAACTATAAAAGAGTTTTTATTAGAATGGACTGTGCAGTACATTGATGTATAACCTTACCACAACTTGAATGAATACATTTTTGACGTTTAATTAATCTGTGACTCTTACATTACCTATAGATGTTTAAACTAAGGCATGGTTGGCACAAGAGAAAAGACTCATGAAGTTTTTTAATAATAGTTCTGATAGTGTTGCTATCACAATTAAATGTAATGTTTCATACTGCCCAATAATTACTTTATGCCATAAGTACGTACTGTATAGTTTGCAATCAAAATAAAAGGCCAAAAAAATAAATAATCAATTTTGAAACCAATTTTTACTTATAAGATTTTATTAATACAAAATAATATTATAAGTGAGTACCACGATATTTTCAGCATAACATTACTAAAAGCAATAATATTTTGTCAAAAATCATTTGATTTTACTCTCTTGCTCTGTCAACTAGATGCCATGTTTTTTTTTTCTGTGTCATATCTTACACAATGAAGTTCTCCCAAAGTAACAACAAAACGGTATATAAAAAATATAGTATTACAAATATATACCATAGGACTTAAGAGCAATATCATTAAAAGTAATCATATGACAAAATTCATCTGTTTGCTCTCCTGCCCTGTCCACTAATTGCCATTGATTTTTTCCTCTGTCATATCGTTCACAATGAAATATTCCTCCATTATTCATAAACACGAATAAGTCGTTTTTCATGACACCAACACCTGCATTTTATAATATTTATGAGTAAAAAAATGTATTATATTTTATATACTTGATTAAATATATACAGACTTGAGCAATCTCCATAGCAAACCATGTTCACGTTAGGCATTTCGTTCCATTTGAAATGTTGTAAATCAAACTTAAAAACTCGTCGACGGCATGCATTAGAACCACCAATGAGATAAATGACGTTATCAATTCTTGATATACTCATGCTAAAATTACATACCGGCATAGGATCGAGTTGTTTCCAGCGTTTCTTTTCAAAATCATAGTACTCTACAGTTGCAAGAGAACTACAATAACGTTCAGTACGTCCACCAAACTACAAAAAACAATAAAACTTGAATCAAATTCTTACAAACCATAATTATTTGTGAAATGAATATTTTACAATCATTTTTCATACAAATTAATAAAATATAAGTAGAAACTTGTTTTGTAGTTAGGCATGGTGTTTATGGTTAAATGGTTTTTTACTTACAACGTATAATTTATTATTAAATACTACAGCACTGCACAAGGCTCGAGCAGTGAGCATCGGTTCAGTAATTTCCGTCCATACTTTTGAATTTGTATCATAGTATTCTACAGAAGTCAAACAATTGTGATTTGAGTCATCATAGCCTCCAACCTTTATCGTAAAAAAAAAAATAATTTTCTTGTAAACAAGGTGTATTCGTTATGTTAACTACAATCAAATTAATACGTACAACATATATGTACTGCTTGTAAGTGCAAACAGCAAAATTTGTTCGTGGTTGATTCAATGGCCATGTAGAAACCCATTGTTTTGATTTTAACTTAAGATCAAGCTCATCTATAAGATTGGTCAATTCACCAGACTCGTTTAAACCACCAATGGCAAGTATTATCCCATTTTCAGAGACTACCATCGTTGCGGCTTTACGGGGAGGCAAAAAATGTAAATGTTCGCTTGATTTTCATCTTAGGTCATTATCGTTTCCATATACTTTACATAGGAACCCCCACCGTTTGAATGACCGTAATTGCAAAAATAATCTGAATACACATATATACAAATGTAAGTTGATACAAGCACATAACTAGTGCACTTATTGTGTACCATGTATAACATGTAAAAATCTAGTTTTAAAATGTCTACATACATTTGATGCTTCAATTTGAGTACATCTCCCTTGAGTATATGATGGTTTTGAATTTATGTAAGTATTAATGATATTTTCTAACATGCCTGTCTTAACTGGAAAAGCATAACAGTAATAATATTTATTCAAAAGACACATCATCAATATATTTCACCTATAGGCACTATTGTATATACAAACAGAGGGCACAATTTAGATTCAATGTTGCCCCGATTGGAAAATCAACAATACATACTTACCATCATTATTATTTCTCACTAATGGTTCATTATAAATCCTTTGTAGTCCTTTTTTTGAAATTAAAGGTAAACGTAAAAATTTTATAAGAAACGGTAACAAGTCATTACGTTCGTCTGTATTAAAGCGTATCCAACCAATGATAAAATCAAAAATCTAAAATAAACTCATAAATTATTATTAAATAATTGTAATAGAAGCAACGTTAAAATAAGTAATTTTTTTTTAAGTTTCAACAAATATACCTTTTCCTCAGAATCAATTACTAAATCATCATGTGCAATAAACTCAATAATATCATCAAACTCAAATTCATAAAGTGTTTCTAATGCTTGATCCAAATTCACGATTATACTAAAAAAACTATGTTTTATTATTTGATTATTAAAAAAAAAATGTAGCGATCATACATCGCACCTGATTACTCACGTGAAATGCTTTAAAAAGTATGGCAAACAAAAATTGTAAATCTTTTCGTCTGATATTAATTTGGAAGTTTTCATAAAACTAACACAATTTGTAGGATTTATGTTTTCTTTAATATATTCAAAACATAACTCTTTTACATATTTCAGACCATACATATCAGCAGCCATAAACAGTTTCTAAAAAATTGATTAACAAGTAATTAAAAATAGAATAATATTTTATAAATTGTATATACTATTGCATATATACTGCCTCACAATTTTTTTCTTTAATATCCAGTTTACAAGTATATGCAAATTTGACCACCAATTCTAAAATTTCGGAATCTATTTCTTTTATAAGAATCTCATTTTCGTTTTTTTCTTTAAACTGTCCGCTAAACATCAAATAAAAAAAATGACTCGCAGAAGCCAATATATTTCTGTGTGCTTCAATTTTTAAGCCTTCATCGGTAATTAATGTTACATCACAAAATTTGTGGTCCCTAGAAAAAACGTATCCGTATAAATGTATATATTTTCGTTAGTAGTCAAGCGAAAAATTTAGACCACATTGTATAAAAACTAAGGGTGGGACAATTCTAGAACTGATACTCAATATCGGACCATAATAATCAATGGTAAGTATTATGTAGTATTTGTTTTAGCGGGTATCGTTTTTTTTTTAATATCAATTCACGGTTTTTGCAAAAAAATTTTAACTTTTTCATATACCTGCAACATATATCGGAATAACTGCTATTGGTAAAAAGTGGTATCGATCCATCCTTAATAAAAACAATATATTTTAAAAATTTAAAAATTAATTCCTTATTAAACCCTAAGAGATATTGAGTGGTCTGCAATAAAATGATCACTAAGTAAAAAGTGCATACCTACACCCTAGGACTATTTGGTCTACACAGATTATTTGAAAGGGCACAATAAAAATAGAAACATTATTCGGTAATAAATAATACTTGTACAAAACTTATAATTAATGACTTACTCATAGAATTGGTACATTTTTTCAAAATGTTCTTGCATAATAACTTCCATAGTTGTTTAGCTTGTATTACAGTATAGATTATATATGTACCTTTTCTAATTAACAAATTTTAAAATTAGGTTACCTAAAACATACATAAGATATAGTAATTTTCATTCGGTAATCATTCAGTAAATTACTCAGAATCAAAAAAATAATTTTATATTTTCTAAAATAACAAATTAGGTTAGCAATGAAAAAAGAAGAATATCCTAAATGAAAAAGTCCAATAGACTATAATTTGATGTTAAACATCCCGTAACCTAACCATAATCTAACCTGCTAATAATTGACATTTATGAGGTTTATGTAGGGACTTATGAGTTTATAATTGATGAAATTTAAACTACATTACTTGATACTTATTTCAGTTAATTACCCTAGTTATTTAAAGGATAGTTATTATAATTACTCATTAACCATTGTACAGCTAAAAGCCGTTGAAGTATAATAACACGAGCTGATACGTCCATCCTTGACAATTAAATACATTCAAATTGTATAATTAATATAGAAACTAATGAAAAAAATAAATAATCGTACCATAATAATATTATATATTATTCAGAATTATTAGAATAAATAATAATTTATTTTATCAGGTAAAATTATATCACATTACAATAATCAAAACTGTTTTATCACAATATTTAAATAAGGCCTTGTGGTGGTTGAACCTAGTTAGTGATAAGGAAAAATATACTATAGGATGGCTTGGGAACCATTGACAGCTTGCCCAGCTTGCCTCGTAGCTCGATGTGCGACCTGTCCAGTCTCTATCTACAGCTCTGGACAGAGTAATCTATTCCATGACAAAAATATACATTTTTTAGGTTTATTCTGTGTTTACTGTTTACACTTTTTATATATTATGCATAAATGGTGATGTGTCTTGACTCTTGATGACGTTTTTATGTCTCATCCAAATTGACCCTGTTGTAAAGTTGCGATTATTGTGAGTTTATTTATACAAATCGTCATTATTATAAGGCGCCATCTAAATAAAATGTATTTTTCTAACAACATGATGTGATAGACATTTTGGATTTCTGCTACGATGGGCACTGAAGGGTTATAGTGTACAACGTTTATTTAAAAATGTAATTAGTAATCAACAGTTACGGGTTTGGTATGGATTTTTTAAAACAGTTTAAATTATTTACTTACATTCATTTTGATCTTATAGAGAGAGAGAGTGCTATCAACAGCCATAGGGATGATAATGGTTAGTGAAACACCGAATCTGTCTATCAGTGAATGTTTTGTTAATTGTGAGTTCTGTTTACAATTTTACTACATTTACCTAGAGAATGAATCTGGGGGCCGACCCAATTTCAAACATTCAGTCTGAGCCCTTCGTGTTCATTGTAGAAATAGTTCAACCATAGACATATATATATCTAGTTAATATGTATGTCTACGAATGTTGTTATCGTCTACTCATTTAGTATTTTAAAGTTGTTATAAAAAATTGTTAAGTAGTTATTATTTGTATGTTTACAAGTATATATTTTTCTTTTTTAACAAATATAATCGGTTTCTCATTAAAAAAGAAGATTTTTATTTAATTTACTCAGCGCCAAGCGTGAAAGTGCCAAAACACTCAGTGACCTATAGAGGGGCGGGTAGGGGTCAAGTAATTGCTTCATTAGTAACTGTGTAGTGTGAATTATTTATTTAATTATCCTTTGATATTGAAAAAAAAGAGGGAGTCTGTATACTAACCAAGTACCATTAAAAGTTGTGTAGGAAAATGGTTACGACCAAGTTTTTATTGTTTGTGTTTGTTAGAAGACTATTGTATTTTTAAAATAATCTGCATTATTTTTAATCAGCTATAACCAAATAAGCTTTTACAATTTTAATCATGTTGTACTATTACGGTACAAGGGAAAAACTGCTTATGATGATCTGATTCTCTGGTCCTTATTTGGCTCTGTTTTTCCGAAATGTGCCTCCACTCATGTTTCATTTATATGTGTTTAAACTTAGAGTATAGTAATTTTATAAGATTAATCATGAGTTTTTTGTACTAATTTTTCAAAATATGCTTTGTTTTTTAGAGTTGAGAATCTAGCTAAGAATCATATTTGAAATGGATGATTATAATCATAGGATCACGGTCAAATTAGATGAGGACATTAAGGATGTAGAAGAGCAGCTTTCTGAAATCTCAAAGAAAAAATCAAGATCTAATGCCATTGAAAAATCTACTGACGTTCCTTGTCCAACAACCCACCACGATCGTCAAACTACAACCAATGGAGATGCATATAAGTAATGTGATTTAATTGTTTTATCAAATAGAAATATTTTAAATACATTTTGTTTAAAAAATAACAAGAACATAATTGAGTTATAAAAAGGAATTCCAAGGCGTTTTAATGTTGTGCTGTTAGTGTTAACACCATTTATATGTGTTTTTCCTTTTTTTTTTTTTTTATAATAGTTCATAAACTAGAATAGTTTAGTCCGGACGAAACCCAATTATAAAATATTAATTTGTAACTGAACAACCAAGCCCGGACCAAAATTAGGTTCACCTGGATAGCCTTGATTAGAGGATTTTTTTAGAATCATGGGGGCCAGACTTAAATAAATTGTTATGAAGCCCATACTACACGCTGGGCTACGATAACAACTATTTTTTTTTTTTATCTCCCAAGGGAATGTATTACTAAATAATTACACACACACACATTAATAATATAAATTACTAAAAGTTATATCAAGTGTAAAATTTATACCTACACTAAATCATAAAACAACATATTATTATCAAATAATCTAGTAATGTATAATAATCATAATTTAAATTGTTAGTAGTCCCGGTAAATAATTTGTCTGTGTTGGTTTAGAATTTTAATATCCATACCTTACCATGGCCAAGTTTAGATTTTTACAATTTACATTTTTCAGACTAAAAAAAATATTTTAAGTGTGGGTCTGGTTTAAAAAAAATGTTTATGTTTAAGACTTGAAAAAGAAGTAGACGAGCCCAGAAATAGATATAAAAATCATAATATGATGCGATATTATTGTATCAATATTTCCTTATTTTAATGCCTGTCATCAATTAGAGTTATTTTTTAAATACCAATTTAACAGTCTGGCCTCCGTGACTTAAATAAATTGTTATTAGGCCAATAGCACACACCTGGCTACGATAACAACTATTTTTTTTGTGTCTTACTAGGTATTACTAATTATGTAAAATAATCATAATTTAAATTGTTAGTAGTCCCTGAAAATAATTTGTCTGTGTTGGTTTAGAATAAAATAATAACAATAACATACTAACTTAATAAAACTATAAAGTTTTTTAAATTATTATGTTAGTTAAGTTTTCCTCCTAACTTTTAAAAATGTGCTTTGTTTATTAGATTTAAAGTTGACGAGCTCAGCATTAAAATTGAAGTAGAAGAAGAAAATGAACAGTCGGAATGGCAACAAAATACAATCGATGGGAATGCATACAAGTAATACAATTTATAAAATACAATATTTTAAATAAGTAGCAATGTGTGACCACGGTTTAAACCCTAATGTATCAATATGTCCTTATTGTGAAGCTTTACCTTACCACCAAAAACTACAGTTATTTTGCATATACTAATTTATTAAACTTTTGGTGTGACTGATAGCGTCTAGAACATAATTCTGTGTTGGTGTCTTTTGCTCATGCCAGATGTTCTCTGTTCCTTATTTTGAGCCTAACCAATTGAACTGTTTTTTTTTTAGGTTTGGAGAAATATGCAAAGAAACGTTGGTCAAAGTTGAAGTAGACAATGTACATGGAAATATTTTTGAATCCGTAATAGAGACTGAAAAAAATTGGCTTTTGGATGTCCCAGCAACCACCAACAATTTGAACGAAATAAAGTCATTTATCTGCGAATTTTGTAAAAAGACTTTTAAAACAAAAAAGAAAGTGGCCCAACACATATCTCAATCACACTCCCAAATCCATAAGAATTTGTCATCTAAATCCAAGATCACACAACACCGACGACGCCTGCACACTGCTAAAAAGCCTCTTAAATGTGACTTATGCCTAAAGTCCTTTTCTGTAAAATCCCACCTCACAGAACATAAACAATTGCACACTAGTAAGAAGCCCTACAAATGTGACTTATGCCTTAAGTCCTTTACTTTAAAACACCACCTCACACAACACAAACGTGTTCACACTGGTGAAAAGCCCTACAAATGTGATGTGTGTTCAAAGTCTTTTTCTGATGGATCATCTTTTATAAGACATACACGCTTGCATACTGGCATAAAACCGTACAAATGTGATGTGTGTTTAAAGTGTTTTAATGAAAGCGGCCACCTCAATACACACAAGCGCGTGCACACTGGTGAAAAGCCCTACAAATGTGACGTGTGCTCCAAGTCATATTCTCATTTATCGACACTCACAAAACACAAACGCGTGCACACTGGAGAAAAAAACTACAAATGTGACGTATGTTCCAAGTCTTTTTCTGGAAAACCTCAGCTCACACAACACGTACGCGTGCACACTGGTGTAAAGCCCTACAAATGCGATCTGTGCTTAAAGTCATTTGCTCAGTTGTCGGCACTTACTATACATAAACGAGTGCACACTGGTGAAAAGCCCTACAAATGTGATGTGTGTTTAAAGTGTTTTTCTGAAAAAGGCCACCTCAACACTCACAAGCGCGTGCACACTGGAGAAAAGCCCTACAAGTGTGACATGTGCTCCAAGTCATTTTCTGTAAGTAACAACTTAACAAAGCACAAGCGCTTGCACACCGGTGAAAAACCATATAAATGTGATGTCTGTTTAAAGTCATTTCATGAAAAAAGCGATTTGATAAAACATATACGAGTGCACACTGGAGAAAAGCCCTACAAGTGTGATGTATGCTCGAAGTCATTTTCTGAAAATCCCCAACTCACACAACACTTACGCGTGCACACCGGTGAAAAGCCATATAAATGTGAAGTTTGCTCTATGTGTTTTTCTTCTAAAAGCAATCTAGTAAAACACAAACGCGTACACACCGGTGAAAAGCCATATAAATGTGAAGTTTGCTCCATGTGTTTTTCTTCTAAAAACAACCTAATAGTACACAAACGAGTGCACACTGGAGAAAAGCTCTTCAAATGTGATGTATGCTTAAAGTTATTTGCTCAAAAATCCGACCTCATCAGACATAAATACATGCACACAGGTGAAAAGCTGTACAAATGTGCAGTGTGCTTAAAGTCATTTACTCGACACTCAACGCTGAGATTACACAAATGTACAAGCAAGTGAATAATGTTTTTGTGATGTGTGTGTTAGGCTACAACAGCAGATACACACTTGCTAGAAGCTCAGTCAGTAAGATAAAATATTTTATTTATGTGTAAAAACTGATTAACTACACAGCATTATTATTTTTTTTTTTTTTTTGTGATTGTTTGAAATGTATTATTTATATTTTCAAGTTATATTATAATTTGACATTTTTTAAATATTTGTATTTCTGTTTTAATATTGTTTTTTAATGTTTTAATTTGTTATAAAAAATTTAACTATTTGTTATGTAGCATTAACATTGGTATTATGTTGATGTGACAACGTCTTAATTTACAGGCTTACCGCCCTACACCCGCAAATAGTAAGCGTTAAGAAATTTTTTTGTGGTTCTTGGCAAATTAATGATGGTAGATTTGAGATTCTGGTAACTTTAGCTACCTTAAGTCTAAGGTAAATGCCACAATGTTAAAATTGTTTGCTATCGGTCTATTTAGGGAGTGAAATTGGTGGAAATGTGTTTATTATGCAGCAAAATTCTACTTGATTGTAATATTTAATAAAATAGTTATAATTGTAATTTAATCTACTTATCATAGAGTTCAATATAGGTAATTTTTTACATGTATTTTATCTACTTTTTAGGATGCCAGCTAATACTTTCAGATTATATACAATTTAATTTTTATTTTTAACAAAATTTATGTACACTGTATTAGCAAATTGAAAAAAATTCAGCCCAAAGATTATAGGTATGTAAATAACCATAAAGTAAAACAAATTATTATATAAACTTTGCTTTGAAACTGTTAAGAAATAAACTAAATATATATAATATAAAACTTAAAGGTATGAAAAAAATATATTTGTTACAATTTTGTTTTTAATGTATCCACTTTTGTAAGCTCTGGTGGAATCAGTTGACATTGACTATTTATTCAAAAATTTCCATTGAACAATTTTTAGTGGTTAGATGAAATTACTCTTTTACATTAGAATCTATAATATAAAAGTGACCAAAGAATTAAATGGTTCATTTATGGTTATATATCAACGAAAAATAAGTGAATGCTCTCAGTTTGATAGTCTACATATTACACTTATGGCTTTACACATAAAAGGGCTTGCTTCCCCGAGGAGTTGAACAAAAGTTATTAAAAAAGAAATCCGAGTTTCATAAATTAGCTAATTTTCAGTCAAACGGAATTCCGACATATACTACTGGTCTGGAAGCGAATCTTCACAAGTGTGTAATCTTATTTCATGGCTTATTTTACATGTATACGTTTTTTCGATAAAGAAATATCTATTTATTTTATCAAGGACGAAATCGCATCAGCAGCTATGCATGCTGTGCAACTGGATGACGCTCTCGGGGGTGCACCGGTTCAGCATAAAGAAACTCATGATCACGAGAGCCATGCGTTTTTGTCTCTTTTTTTTTACCTTGTAATTATACTCCAAAATATTGGGTACAACCAATGCCTACCTAAAATAATGCTCATTAATTCTCTTCTCGTTTTAGCTATACGTTATTTGCCCGGTGGTGTGGCTTCGGGATTCCACCATACGGAAATCAATCCTGGCGGCGAGAAAAAACTGTATCAAATCATAGTCAAAAAGAACGTTCGAGTCAGGCAAGTAGCTCCAAACGTGTCGGCGATGAATCAAGGCGACTGCTTTATTTTGGACACCGGTAAGGAAATTTACTTGTACGTTGGACCACGAGCAAACGGAACATAGCGACTCAAAGCCATCAGCGTTGCTAATCAAATTGGAGATCAAGATCATCTGGGAAGAGCCAAAATAAATATCGTTGGTAAGTCCAATAGTTGTTTGGCTCCATAAAGTACACCTTTCGCGGTTAAAAATTTAGTTAAGCCAATAAATATATATATATATATATATATAATTTATTTTGTAGACGGATCTAGCACGCCAGAAGTAAGCGACTTGTTCTTTGAGCAATTGGGTTCAGGATCGGCCGACCAAGTAGCACCGGCTGTCGATGACGATGTAGAATTTGAAAAGAAAGAAGCTGTTAGTGTGTTAGAAAATATATTTAAAATTAAACCTATATAGTTTATACTCATTTACAATATTATTGATTAGACAACACCGGTTTTGTACAAAATAACCGACTCACAAGGTGGACAAATTTCATCAGAAAGAGTCAATGAAAAACCACTTCTCCGATCTCACTTGGAAACCGATGTTAGTACGGCGTACACGGAAAAAAGTACTTCCGAATATTAAAAACTCATATTTTCAAGCGCCTATGAGTTAATTACTTTTAGGAAATACATAATTTTAGTGGTCCATTAGTTTAAGTCTCTTTACGGTAATGCATACATTTTCATTGATTTTAATTACAACGTTTGATGAAATTAAAAAAAAAGTATATATTTTTTAAACTAATATTTAAACTGCAGTTATCAATCTTCTTTTCATTAGTTCGTTATCATAGATATATTTATTCAAGATAACAACGTTGTGATTACAGTTTTCTGTTAACAATAATTTACTACTTAGTACTTATTATCTCATTACCTATCGGCTATAGTTTAAATAGGTACTAAAAATATGTCGAATGTGTTGTGGCTTTTAGGATTCTTTCTATTATATTGTCAATTGCAGTGATTAACACTAGTCAATAAAAATATTATCCCACAATATTTTTTATTCTGACAAGTCAAGTAGTGTAACCAACGAGTAACTCCACTTTGGAGTAAAATAAAATGGTAAAGCCTTCTATTTACTTTTGAAAGTAGTACATTACAATACTCAAACTATTTTTATACTTTAAATTACCTTTATAAATTAATAAAAAAACGTAAAACCTCTTAGGTTGTATAATTATTTCTTTGTGTAAGATTTACTACAATAATATAATTAAGTATAGAGCAGTTAATGACTACTAGCTACTGGAAGTAATGTGTTTATACTATAGTCATAGTTGGACAATTATTATTCAAATAATTAACTTCTATATCTAATATTTACTATTATAAAGGTAAATTTGTAATAGTTTTCATTATTGTTTACAGCTTATTGGCCTAGCTATGATATCTTTAATTTGTATTATGTTAGTTATATACTGTATACACAAAGAGATTGGTACTATAATATGTTATTTAATTAAAATATTTAAAAAAAGATTTTAATACATTAAATGTATTTCCAGCTTAATAATAAAATTCCAAATGAATATTGAATACCTAACGGAGTCTAAACAAGATCACATTTATTCGAAAAATGTTTATCCTAACCAAATTGTCTAACTCTGTTATACAACTAATAATTAATAAATTCTATAATAAATGTATGTGATCAATGTCTAATATATATTCTATGAGTTTAAATAGCTTCAGTTACCTACTATTTCAAACAAGAGGTATTATCAAGTGTGAATTTCTAACACTAATTGCTTACCTTACAAATGCTACTCATTTAATTGAGTCGGCGTGTAATTTTAGCAAGGTTTTTAGTACTCTAAGTATAATGATGTATAAAATGTAAGCGCGATTTTATTATGATAATTATGATAATATTTGCTAAAACAACATTATTTTCCCCTGCTTGTATGATATAATTTACAGATTTTTATAATATTGGCTGTGGTTTTTCTATTTGAATTTGTTCAATACTGTGATGTAGCTTAATTAATTCTTAGATTTGTATTACAATGTACGTAGACATATATTTAGTGGCATATATTATATATAATAGCCATATATTAAATTTGTCAGTCTATTCACGTCTACGATGGTAAACAATAAAATATATTACAATTTATAGGGTCTGTTTTTGTGTATGTGACACGCCGCATTGTATGTTATACGAAATTAAATACATGCAATATGAAATTGCAATTTGCAGTCATAAATTTAAGCGCGTTGTTTCGTGAGAGTGGATTTGGAAATAATGCGTTTTAATAAAATACAGTTTTAAATTTCGACTTGTTCGAAATCTTTTAATATTAAAACACCAAACACGAGGCCGCCACGGACGTGACTGTAATATCAAATTACATTTTCTAGAACCCGGTATACCTGTTGAAATGAAACCCAACCTAACCGGTTTTCCCCCAGCCGTTTAGTAAAATATAATGTGCCCCTAACCGTAAACATACATGTTTATATAATGGTTAAATACCAATCTATTGGTTTGGTCGTTTTGTTGTGATATGTGTGTAACATGGCGGGGAAAGGTACAACGCACACCCGACGGCTGAAACATCTGTTCACTTTACTTCTTCACTGCAGGTATGACATTCGTAGCGTAGACTGTTAACATTCCAATACATTAAATATAATATTATTACTCTAGTTCGTATTGTGCGACCCGACTGGTTTAATTCTTTTTGCCACAAAGCCTACACACCAGATCACCCACGACATCGGTGAGTAAGAATTTAAATTATTTTATGTACAGTCCTAGAATGGCCATTAAAAATAAATTAAAAAATTTATTTTTGCGGTACCCACTAAATCGGTTCTAGTGCTCATAAAAATGAGCTATACTAAATTTGAGATTTTTTCGTCAACTTTGACTTAACCCGTGGCTTTAATTTAAAAAAAAAAAGCTTGACTTGTCGCTATCTCTGTTGGTCAACCCACAAATATGGATGTGTAACTTCTGAATGTTAAATGTTTTTATAGTATTCTACGTTGTAACATATATAAGAAGAAAAACTTTTTTTTTTAATCCAATAAAGAAATAATTTTTTTTTAAAAGAAGTTATTTTAATTTGTTTATTGAGGTTATATATTTTATTAATATTTACAGCGATTTTATCAACAGATAGTTAATCAGCCGATAGTAAAACCATTGAGTATATACTCTATGGTAAAACATATTATAAGGATTCTTTCTATTATATTGCCAATTGCAGTGACCAACACTAGACAATAAAAATATTATCCCACAATATTTTTTATTCTGACAAGTCAAGTAGTGTAACCAACGAGTAACTCCACTTTGGAGTAAAATAAAGTGGTTAAGCCTTCTATTTACTTTTGAAAGTAGTGCATTAAATAATACTAAACTATTTTTATACTTTAAACTTCACGAAATACTCCATAAACCTTAATTTTTCGAGTATGACCTTTACAAATTACTAAAAAAAAAACGTAAAACCGTTTAGATTGTAAAATTGTTTCGTTGTTTAAGATTTCCTACAGTAATATTTATACTTATAGTAATGTAGTGTAATGTTTAGTAATGTTTATACTTTATACTATGATCATAGTTGGACAATAATTATTCAAATAATTAATTTCTATATCTAATATTTACTATTATAAAGGTAAATTTGTAATAGTTTTCATTATTGTTTGTAGCTTATTGGCCTAGCCAGCGAATAATAGGCCGTTATTTTTACCATTCATTATTTTTTTAACTTTATTTTTTTTAAATAATTTCGCTGTATTTTTTTATATCACTTTAAAATATATTTGTTTTCATTACCTATACATAATTTTTAAAAATGATTTTTGCTATTTCTATTTCTACTGTTTTTTTTTTTTACTAAGTTTGTAGAACTCAATTGTTGCAAAGCACGCCTTCGCACCTGCGTGTCTTGTGTTATCTGTATTGATGTATATTTGTACACCCACATTGAAAAGAGTAACCATTTTTTCTATTTAATCATAACTGTTTTTTAAAAGGGTTGTTATTACTCTACTTTATCGTGAAAGTAATTTTAAAAAATATTATAAAGATTTGTAAAATTATAAAGTTGTTTATTGCACTGTTTTGGGATTATTTGTGAACAATACTGACACATAGCAACTATAAAATATAAGGCGTTTATTCGATAATATCTATCTAGTAATATCTTCTAATCTTATCTACTAATAATTATATCTTAATATTATTCGGGTTAATATAGTTTAGGTTAATTATTTAATCACGAGGTACATCTTCAAAAGTAAATTAATTAATTTTGGCGATGAATATTCTAAAAGGTATATATTTTTTTTAACAAATATATTTTCTTTTTTTGACAAAAAATGATCTTTCTTTGCAGAAAATAAAGATTAATAAAAATTGTAATATTTTGTAAAAATTTGCAAACAAAGTTTAATACTTTGTAATATTTTATAGTGACTATTTTATTTTTTATTTGTGTTAGTTAGATTAGGATTTTATTTTTAAGAGAGTATGCATTATTTTTTTACTAATAGTATACTTAGTAAATCTTCTAAAATTTTAATTGTGGTCCTCTATTACAAGACGAGTGGCAAATAGCTTCTAAGGATTAGATTTTCAGTTCAAACCTATAGGCCTGTTTTTTGGAATTACTTTCCCAAAAAGTCTTCCTTCTTTAATGCTACACAAAAATGTGTTCAAACTTTGGCTATATTTTTAAAGACTAATCAAGAGATCTTGTCCTAATGTTTGCTTGTTTTTAGAGTTTCAGTAGTAAAGAACCATCTAAAATCAAAATTGAAATGGATGGTTATAACCTTGAGACCGTGATCAAAATAGAAAATGAGGTTAAGAAAGAGCTATTTACCGAAGCTTTAGTGAAAAACCCTAATCCGAATCCCATTGAAAAATTATTTAATAGTTGTTCGACAGCCTACAAGTATTGCCAAACAACCACCAATGGAGTTGAAAATAAGTATATATGATTTTAAAATTGAAATATATAAATAAATTGAAATGTCTTAAATACATTTTGTTAAAAATTAACAATAACATAATTGAGTAGGAATTCCATGGCGATTTACTAGGCGTTTGTATTTTTTCCTAACTTGGTAAAAAAAAATATTTTTTCTGATAATACAAAACCATAATTGGTAACATGTTGTTAGTGTTAAAATCACTAAAAAACGTACTGTAAATAAATAACAACAATATTGTTCGTACTCCTAAACACTGTGCTTATTAGTTGAATTTTAGAAATGTTTCTAAACAATTTCTAAAAAAAAAAAAAATTATAATTAATTTCAAAGATACATACATTGGTAGAGTTAACATAAAGCGGCAACGAAGAATTCTATTATTTCTAAACTATATTTAAAATTCATAATCTAAAAAAAAATAATATACCGTGGACCAACAAGTCTGTGTTCATTGAAGTCCATACTTCTACATGGTCTAAAAATATTTTATTTTAAAAAAAAGGTTATAACTCTTTCAGTCCTGGCATACTCGTACGAGTAGGCAACATTTAAAAAATCGTCATTAATTTAATCTTTAATTTAGGGACTTAAGGTATTCATAAAAATGATCCTTAATATACTAAGATTCATTAAAACATTATAGAGTTCACCCAAAGGTAACCATTTTATAGTTATTTGAAGTATTATGCTAAAAAGTTTGAAATTTCCATTTTGATAATAAGACACTTTCATTGTGATTACATTTCCCGCTATAACTACTGAACAGGTTATAATAAAAATCTGGGATTTTTATTTCCATGAGTTAACATGTTTATAGAACGTAATAACCATCATTGCTAACTTCAAATATCTTTAATCATATTTTTAATGACAACAAACATTAACCTTATCAAATACTTCTACGAGTAGGTTAGGTAGTAAATGGTGTCTTGATCGAACATACTTCTACGAGTAGATTGGGCAACGCATATGATAACATAATAATATTATGAAGCTTATCATATTATCACGATAAAAATAAAAATAAGAACGTACGTTTTAATTTTAATTATTAAAATGTGATTTATTACAGAATTTAGTAAAAGAAAAAAAGTAATTTTAAGACTGTTAATATTATAATAATTGATTTTCATTGTTATAATTAGTTGTAATTCATGTCATATATCATAATTTATTGTAAACAAAAGTAAAAATATGAAATATTAAAATGTGATTTATTACTATGATCAATAATTTACATCTATACTACCTAACCTAACCTAACCTCCCTAAAAAGTATGTTTGATTTACACCTTTACTACCCGACCTACTCGTAGAAGTATGCTTTATTCACACCCATACTACCTAACCTACTCGTAGAAGTAATTGACTTAAGTCGCTTGTAACTTAGTCAAAAATAAGTTTTGAGATCTAAAACTTCGTAAACATATTATTTAGGTCTAATTGAACATGGGAAAAAATCGTCTATTTTTTTTTCGAGACAAAAAATAATTTGGGACCGAAAGGGATAAAATAAAAAAAAATAAAAAAATGACCGCTCGTATCGTATCGTAGACCTTAATTTGTAGATACCAAATATGATACAATTAGATATTTAGACACTCATTGCTCGTAGCACATATTTTCCATTCAATTTTTTGTGCTTTAAAATATAGTTTTTTGTGATGTTTTTAGTACCATTGAAACGTGCAAAAAAATGATTGCCCAAGTCGATGTAGATATAGTGAACGGATATGTTTTTGAGTCCGTGGTAGAAATCGAGGAAAATAGACTTTTGGATGTGCAAACGACAAACGACAATTTGGACGAAGTACGTAAATTTGTCTGCGATGTATGTAAGAAGTCGTTTAATACTAAAACAAGAATCACACGACACATAACGCATTCACAAAGTTCACACTCGAAAACAAACTTCAAAAATACTTATACGTAAGGCAATGTTTATTTATTAAACTAGATTTTTAAATTGTTTAGTCCTTAAACATAAGCACAATATCATTCTTATTTTACAAATGATAAACTAATTTTCTAAGCAAGAAACAAAATGTAAAAATATTTTTTTCACACGACCTTCCTCCTTAAGATAACTTCCCAGCTATCCCATGTGCGTGTATGTTTTTTATCCGCTGAGATTGGTTATGATATTGTGCTCCGGTCAACTTTTAATTATGCACGACACGAACATGGAATACCTGGGAAATCGCCTTTACTCAATGGTATAATTATTAATATATTAGTTTTTAGTTATGACATATCCTTATAAAGAAGCTACTAAAAAAAAAAAAAAAGTATGACAAATATCTATGATAAAAATTTCTTGAAAATGTAGTATGCATTTTAAAAATTTGCGACTAAACTTCCTGTGAACGTATTTATTTTGCGGAGGCCCTTCATTTATTAAATTTTGTGGGGGCACAGGAGCCGCGTAGGCCCCTCCTAAATCTGGCCCTGAAGACAAAAAAAAACGAGGGATATTCACATAAATTAACAAATTATTTTTTTTTTTAATACAAAATTTCTCCATTAAAAGCATTTTTAATTTTATAGATATAACAATTCAACTGGATTAATTTAATTTCTAAAGCCGAACTTCTTCTGTACAAATCTTTACATTGCCCTAGTTCAAAAATGAATGTATAATAATAATATACAATTGTTGTATACAAATTGTAGTTATAATAATGATAATCACAATGTTTTGTTGTAGTGTCAATGGTACGAGTTTTGAACGCGTGCCCACTGCTGAGAAGCCCTACAAATGTGATGTGTGCCAAAATGCTTTTTCAAATTTATCGGCACTTCGAAGACACCAACGCGTGCACACTGGTGAGAAGCCCTACAAATGTGATGTTTGTCTGAATGCTTTTTCATATTTATCGGCACTTCGAATGCACCAACGCGTACACACCGGTGATAAGCCCTATAAATGTGACGTGTGTTTAGAGGCATTTTCTCAAAAAGGCAACCTCTCAATACACAAACGCATTCACACTGGTGAGAAGCCCTACAAATGTGATGTTTGTCTGAATGCTTTTTCAAATTTATCGGCACTTCGAACACACCAACGCGTGCACACTGGTGAGAAGCCCTACAAATGTGATGTTTGTCTGAATGCTTTTTCAAATTTATCGGCACTTCGAAAACACCAACGCGTGCACACTGGTGAGAAGCCCTACAAATGTGATGTTTGTCTGAATGCTTTTTCAAATTTATCGGCACTTCGAACACACCAACGCGTGCACACTGGTGAGAAGCCCTATAAATGTGACGTGTGTTCAAAGGCATTTTCTCGAAAAGGCAACCTCTCAACACACAAACGCATTCACACTGGTGAGAAGCCCTACACATGTGATGTGTGCCAAAATGCTTTTTCTAATTTATCGGCACTTCGAACACACCAACGCGTGCACACTGGTGAGAAGCCCTACAAATGTGATGTTTGTCTGAATGCTTTTTCAAATTTATCGGCACTTCGAAAACACCAACGCGTGCACACTGGTGAGAAGCCCTACAAATGTGACGTGTGTTTAGAGGCATTTTCTCAAAAAGGCAACCTCTCAATACACAAACGCATTCACACTGGTGAGAAGCCCTACAAATGTGATGTTTGTCTGAATGCTTTTTCAAATTTATCGGCACTTCGAACACACCAACGCGTGCACACTGGTGAGAAGCCCTACAAATGTGATGTTTGTCTGAATGCTTTTTCAAATTTATCGGCACTTCGAAAACACCAACGCGTGCACACTGGTGAGAAGCCCTACAAATGTGATGTTTGTCTGAATGCTTTTTCAAATTTATCGGCACTTCGAACACACCAACGCGTGCACACTGGTGAGAAGCCCTACAAATGTGATGTTTGTCTGAATGCTTTTTCAGATTTATCGGCACTTCGAACACACCAACGCGTGCACACTGGTGAGAAGCCCTACAAATGTGATGTTTGTCTGAATGCTTTTTCAAATTTATCGGCACTTCGAACACACCAACGCGTACACACCGGTGATAAGCCCTATAAATGTGACGTGTGTTCAGAGGCATTTTCTCAAAAAGGCAACCTCTCAATACACAAACGCATTCACACTGGTGAAAAACCTTATAAATGTGATGTGTGTCTAAAGGCTTTTCGTGTTTCGTGGTCACTTAAAACACACAAACTCGTACATACCGGTGAGAAGCCCTACAAATGTGATGTGTGCACAAAGGCATTTTCTCAAACATCTCCCCTCACGCTACACAAACGCGTCCACACTGGTGAAAAGCCCTACAAATGTGACGTGTGCTCAAAGGCATTTTCTGATGGATCAGTTTTTATAACACATACACGCGTGCACACTGGTGAAAAGCAATTTAAATGTAACGTGTGCTCATAGTCATATTCTTATAGCTCAAATCTCAGTTTACATAAACGCGTGCACACTAGAGAAAAACACTAGAATTGTAGCGTTTGTTTGCATCCATTTTCTCAAAAATTCTATCTCACAATACATGAACGATTGAACGCAAGCATGTTACATGTGATCAATTTCACAATATTATTTTGTATTTACTATATTTTTATTTATTCAAAACTTTATATTCGGATCTCACAAACTCGTTCAAGCTCGTTAATATCCCTATAGGTATTTGATATAACGCGCACACGCTTAAAATATTTTTCTAAAAAATCTAACCTTGTGCAACACAGTTGGGTGCACTCTGTTGAAATGCCCAGTCAACAGCTCATAATAATTGTTTATTAATTTGACATACTTTATATTCTTTTCATAATTTTTTAATTTACTACTAAATTATTTTAATCAGATGTCTATGCGATAAAGATAATTGCAAGACTAATTGTAAGATGACCCTACTTTACTCTGCAGACATTTTTTTTAAGACGTTTGTTTGACATGTATTATTTATAGTAAAAATTCAGTTTATCAATATTTTTAAAATAAATATTTTTGTTTTTTAATCGTTTTATATACGGCTTGTCACATTTATTTAGTAGTTACAATAGTCTATTTAATTGAACAAATGTGTTATTAAACTAAAAGTTGATGTCATTTGAATAACAACTTAAGATTAAATAGTGTTAATTGACCTAACAAATAGCTTTAAATGTGATTTTTGCATAGTAAATTCGTCATTGTTTGTACACTGACTTCCTTTAAATTGTACTATAATAAGAAAAGTTGTAGCTTATGAAGAAAAACACATTATTGTTAAGACCTTTATATTTTAAATTACTATAACTTACAGATAATTATTATTCAAGTTTAATAATATGTATTGTAATTATAAGACAATTCAAATTGTACATAAATTGATTTCCTTGCCCATGCTTTTTTAATAAAAACATTTAGGTAAGATAAGCCGTTAGAGTAAATGTTAAGAAGAAATCTATGAACATTGTAAAGTGATATGACATTTTCGTCTACCATCTTAATACTATCTTAGCATTTTTAGATTCAAACAACTTGTCACTTTTTATACTTTGTGATTAAAATATGTCAATGATTCAATAGTTAATCATCTATTATATTTGAGATATTTACTTAAATAAAAAGGAAATTTCAATTGTTTAATATAATAACATGTTATATTCCAACTATAATTATTAACCATAACATTTAATGTTTATTTTCATACTTTATGAAATTAAAACTTAAAGTAAAAAATTCTAATGTATTTTTTTAAAAGAATTATGAAAATCAATAGAAGAAGTCCAACGTGATTGTGTAGTCCGCTAATTCCTTACAACACAGACTGTTTGTGCCATGATTAAAATTTTTTTTTTTCACTTTTATATCCCACGTAATATAGAACCCCTTATGTATTTAATTAAAAGTTGAGCGATATGGTTTTATTCTGCGCCATAACAGTTTTCTAAAAATTTGAAAAATGTCCTGGCTGACCAACCACATTGGTGTTAGATTGCTTCTTTTTAATAAAAAAAAAACCTAGGATGGATAAAAAGCCATAAAACCATCGGTAATAATAAAAAATTATTAATGTTTTTTTAAATGTTAAAAACTTAAAATAATATAACTAGATCGTTGTTAAAGACGTTGGTTGTTTTGATATATTTCTTGTTTACTGCAATGGCGTATGACTATCAGGTAACTGTTCAAACAAGCGTACAAAACATCACATCAAAATATTATGTTTTCTTTTTATTTCAATAAATAACACTTAAACTGTGTTTTCCATACAGTACCGTGCAAGGAAAAAAAAAAAATTTTTTCGCAATGACAACGATAAAACCATATAATATCTTCAAAAGGGTTTTAAATGAATACAAAAATAAAACAGTAAAATTATTGACGACCGGATGTGGACATTTTTAGGTGCCTATGTTTTTTTTCGCCAAAAAAGTTTTCTGAGAATTTGAAAAATGAACGAGCAATGTCCAAATGAGCATCACCAAATAGTTTAGTTATGTAGCTTTTGAACACAAAAAGGTCAAGCATGCCTTCGTATTTACACCCACCCGAATCGCTTACTTCAATTCCATGCAGTTTTGCCAACTTGAGCAATGTCGCCCTTCTCTCGCTTTTGTAAGACAGATTTAAACCAGCACTTGAAATTACTGTTGATGGAGCATTATTGTATAATACTTTCTTGCATTTTTCCAATATGTTCTTAATTCCGTTTTCGTTGTCGATATTCTTGTTTGCATCACTAAATGCAACATGCTGTTTCGAATCGAAAATTCTGATGACGAGTTTTAATTCTTCGTCGTCGTCCATTTTTAAAAAACAGACAATATCTTTCAAGTAATTCAGCATCGTTGTGTTACTCCGTGAAACACATTCAGCCAGTACCTTCGTTGATTGGTTTCCGATGTGAGGCAACGTCGATTGCACGTCTAGTACATATTTCATGACATTATTGGCAATTATATACTTCATTAAACTATCAAACATTCCAAGACAATCGACAATTTTTACGAATAATAGTCGAACCGGGTTGGATTCCCTGTAATATTTACAGTCACTATGTATTCTATATATTTCTTCGGCGTCCTATTCATTCTCAAAATTTATCTCCACGAATTGTTTTCCCAACGTGGCTATAATATCGTTGTTCAATGTAATGCGTGGCAAGCGCAAATCGTTTATTGAAAAAAAAACCATTTTGTCGTCGAGGCCAAGAATTTGTTGAATATCATGAACTCGATTTATAGTGTGCTGGATAATATAAACAAGTTTATTTCTCGCGAAGACTTCGTCAGAATTACTGACCATTTGTAATAATTCCTTATAGAAGTCGGGCTTGCTGTGTTCGTGGTTAAACTTGTTATTCGGATGGCAACGGCTGTCAGTGAATTGTGTAAGTAACCCGTAAATGATGTCGTGGTCGTAATGAACAACAGCAGACTTCTTAGCATATGTTTCAGAAGAAATAGTTTTGATGTATTCCAAGTACACATACATCAGCCATAACGGGTCTGAGCAATTTACCGTACCGAGACGTTTAAAAATGAAAAACATTTTTCCAATTTCGTTTTGGAAAATATGCGGATCTTCGGTGATAATATATGCGAATGCTGTCTTCAGAAATGATTCACTCGCTTCGTTTACTAGAACTTTAACCGTCTCCAAGTATTGCCGGAAAGCGAACACATAACTGCACAGCAAATTTTTGTAGACAGTGGCCCTCGCGTCCGTTACCGCACTTTCAGTGACTTTTCTTTGCGATATGAATTCATGCAAAATTTGTGAATTTTTTTTATCTTTGTGCGAGTATCCCGTATCGATTTTCATTAAATCGTTGTACTGAATTGCCATATTGTCATCCGTTCGGTTTGAACCTGTCTCAGCTGTGTCGAAACCGTTTCGAAAAAAAGTAAAAATCATCACAACCATTGGCATGAGAAACATGGTTTACTTGTTTGAAAAAAAAGTTTACAAAATTATAAAAATTTACTATTAGTTTTATATTATAGTACGATTAAATTGAATACACTCAATGTGAAACGTATCCATCCGAGTACAGTAATAAAACGGGAGCACTTCTTTTAATTTTTGTACAACACAAAAAGTTCACAATAAGTTTCTTCTTCATAAATGTGTACAGAATGACAAACTTTTATGATATATTTTTCCAATACCTTTCTCTGTCACACAGTGTCAATATCGAGCATACTTATTTGTTTTACTATACATCCGTCGGTTGTCGGTTTGATAAGTCTAAAAATTTTACATGCTATATCATGCCTCCCATTTGGAATGAAGACCATTAGTAGACAAGTTAAAAACAAATATTAAAAAACAGCACAGTCCAAACCGAGTGCAGTATAAACCAGTACAGGGTTTATTACCAATTATTGAATCCAAGGAATGGAAAAAGGAGAGGGCTAGAAAAAAACACAAAGGCAACAGTTATACTTAGAACCGCGAGTAAAACTGTTTATTATATAAAGCATTAGGCAATTAATTAACAATTTCGTATTTAAGTGTGTCTGAAAATAATATATAAATTTACAAATGATAATATTAATAAAATGTTATAACTTAAAAGCTAATTTGTAAGAATTTTAAAATGTTATTGACTTGTACGGTAAACTCGTTCCTTAAGGCCCCTGGATACCAACCATTTTTTCAGCCAAAACAAATCATTTTTTGTCCATCGCACAGGTCGAACCAGTAATCCGATAAGCAATCTAAAAACAGATATGAATTCGTCACAAAGTTTACTTGAGATCGGTCAGAGCACTTTTTTCAATTTTTAATTTTAACCCTTTCCAAATTTAAACACAGGGAGTTTTAATTTTTATCTGCAAATAATGATAGACATAAAATCAATTTATATAAGTCACGGTGGCCTTCGGAACGGAAGTGACTAGGTTTTTATTGTAAGATGACATTTTTTATTTGATATAATATTGTGTTGCTTAATTAATTTTTTGTATTACTAGATGAACAATATAGGAAAATATAACAGAAAATACAATTTTCTATCTGTAATACTTATTACTAATTATAAACATTTTAAATATCGCCAATTCTGATAAAAAAGCATTATTACAATAATATAATAGCTTGGGCGAGCTTAAAAGGTGAGGCCTGCAGTTTTAAAGGGGTTGCATGCGGTCTGTTTTTAAGGAGTTTTGTATAGACAATTTCTAAGAAAAAGGAGATTTTAATAAATTTTGACTATGTCAATATATTTACCGGTTAATCCGTATAAGCTTCATGATATTATTTTTAATTGAAATAATTTTTATACAGTACACGAGTAGGTGTACAATGAATTACTAATGTGATATAATATGCTTTAAGTCTTCAAGTATTATTTTTACAGTTTTGTCTTCCGAATCAATATTATTAGTGGATAACTTAAAAAAAATATGTACATTTTAAAACAGCACAATCCAAAGCAAGTGTAGTAATGAAAAAAAATTGAGGGCTACAAAATTTTTAAATCAGCACAAAATGATGTAATCTAATCGAAGTCGCACAACTATTTTAACCTTTATGCCTAGATACATAACTTGTTGATGATAACATCATACTAAACCAGTTTAAAGTAAAGTTCTGTCACATTTTCGAAACAAGGTTCCGTTAAAAGCTGTCAATTATTTGTCAAGTTCTAACTATTGCACAATGTACATGAACATACAATTTGTGTTTTATAATAATATAATTTATATTACTGTGTATACAGTATGATTAAATTGTTTCAAAGGTATTCGATTATAGAACTATTAATAATCGAACTTTTCGAAATAAATGAACAAGAGATTTAAAACGTCCAAAATGAATTGTAAAAACATACCATTTTTCAGTAAAGTAATTACGTTTACTGTTTAAACAAAACGTAATTACTTTAGTGATTCACTTGTATAATTTGAAAACATAAAATAGCATCGTTTAGCATTTGATTTTGTTTTTTGTATTTTAGACTTTGAGCCTTTATTTGAGATTTTATATAAAATCAGCAAAAAATAAACGGAAAATTAATTGTATATTAAATAACAGTTATAATAATTAATAACAATACTCATATACACATGGTCGTATACAAATTTTCGTTTTTTCATTGTATCTTCGGACATACATTACTTGTTGAAATAATTAAATTAAACAAGGTGTTCCAACTAAACATTTAGTTAGGCCAACTATTTATTTAGTTAACCTTACCTTACCACGATGTGGGATTTATTTGTGTTTCATTCGAGTACCAGCTCTAGAAATCACAAATCTGTCTAAATAATTATAATATTTAGTTTGCTTTTTTAAAAACATTTACAATTTTGAAATTTGAAAACTTATGTGCTAATGAAATATTCACATAAATATAATATAATTTATTTAACAAACGTTATTCAAACTATGCATGTAGAAACAGTGTTATTAAACTATGACGCAAATGGCAATGTTATTTGAAAAACAACAGAATGTACATGTTTCAAAATAACACGTGAGCCGGATAAAACATTTCGTTAGCAATAAAAAATGTTGGTTAGCTTTGCATGAAATTATTGTTCAATATTTCAAACAATCCTGATATTTCTCGATAAAATTAAGTCA